CGTTTGCAATGGCGCAGTGGTGCAGTAGGGAGTGGCGCTGGCGGCTAGGACGCGGGGATGGCAATCGATCCACTCACCCACCAGTCCACCACCCATCTCCCTCCACCAGAGATGGGCATCTACCACTGTGAACGTCCTCATGGGGGGATGGTGGCCAGCTGAATATGTTGTTGCAGCCCCGACCGTCGGAGCTTCGTGGTGGAGTAGTGGTGAGCTCCGGTGATGGCCATTGCCGCGGGGTGGCTGTAGCGGGGAGACCGATGACATAGGGGCTCGGAGGATGCTTGGCCAGGTCCAGGCGCATGCGAGGTGCATGGTAGGCGCTGCCGACGGTACCCAACGAGGTAGCGGCGGTAGGGAGCATCGTCGGGGTCTCGGATGCGAGGGCTGCCGGTAGCACACACGTGGAGGGCAGCATCATATCTCCATCACGGAAGGAGATGCGGCACAAGGAGCTATCTTCGGGAGGGGCGGAGAAACATAGGTACTTCATTTTACCTTGTGCAGTTTTTCCATGACTTGCCTCTCATGCTCTACCTGTTTAATATGCAGATCAATTTTCAGTCAACACAATGCACAACCGGCAAACTAGACATGACAATTAGTTTGCCTTTTTTTTTCTATGTCAACTTTTCATATTTTCTGATACAAAATAAATAAAGGCAAATTATGATGTGTTCGTGTGGCAAATTATGTTGATGAATGGTGAATTAAAATGTGTTTGCCATAGCATCTCCAATTTTTTCGCCATGGCAACTTAATTTTTGACCCATGACAATTAGTAGTTCTTTTCATGTTTTGTCACATGGTGGCTTAAGATAGCGGTGGGGTTGATTTTGTTGATTTTTTTAATTGAAGTAGGCGCCTCGTGCAGCTATTGTGAGCAAAGAAATAGTTTGTACTAGTCTGGTGGCAAATACAATTCTCGATCCATGACAAATTTTACAGCATGGCCAAAATAATTGTTCTTGGAAACTTTTGCAGGGTCATGCCATTTTTTTTGTTTGCTCTACATAATGGACTTTTAAAATAAGTTTTTGTTCTTCTCCTTGAAACATATGTAAAACACATTGTTCTATATCATGGCATTTGCCATGACCTATATAGAAATTTTAAAACTTGCCATGTTTATTTGTATTATATTTTTTTCCTATATTGCCATCATGTGTACTACTCACGTACCAAAACTTAAATTTTTGTCTCTCTACAGCTGTCATTGCAAATTTACAATAACAATGTTTGTTCTAGCTACCCTACTGATGTGACCCCTTTTTTCAAATCCTCTACTTTTGCCATATCACCAATCCATTTTTTTCCTCATTTCTCATGACCTATATAGCTTCATCTAAAAAAAACTTGTCATTTCAATTTGTACTATGTCTATGTCATTTCAATCCATAAATCTTGGCAATTTCTTTGTGTTTTTTGTATGTTTTCTTCTATGTATGTTTTATATTGTTTCAGTACATATGTAATGGCAAATTAATCGTCACAACAATGGCAACTATTTTTCATGGCATTTTACCATGCATGATTTTTGTACAACTGTACTAGATCACAACAAATTATTTGTACATAGCATGGCAATTAATTTATACGCACCATGG